TTTCTTTTATATTTGTCTTTACTCCATAAGTGTTAAAGAAAAAAATCTTCTGCAATGCCTGTGACAATGCTGATTGAAAAAAATTCTCGAACTAGGAAACTTAATAAAAAAGTTCTTTGCAGATCTGCAGCTCTTGTTTTGCCCTTAATGGCTGCTCCTTCTTTCTTATTGGAAGAGATTTTGTAATTTTTGCAGCATTTTAGCCTATTACCAGGTAATTTGCTCGTTTGAGGGATATCTAGACTTGTGGTCGCTGATAAGATCCTAAGGGCCAATACTCCCATTAGATAAGGAAGATGTTTCACTAACCTCCATTCTCTGAGTTCAATTTTCTTATTGAACTGAGATAACATCTATGACCCATAGTTTCTTAGTCCATTAACAGCTGGAAATACAGGACCACTTAAAATACTTTGTATAGTTTCCTCTTGAACTAACACTAAGTTTCCCTCCCCACAACATAAACTTCAGTAATCCAGAAACAACTAAGAAGGGGTTCCTAAACTGATCCTCTCATCCTGACAAATATAAATCTTACAAAATTCCACCTTCATTTGATATTTTATCAGCACATGAAATCTGAGAACTAGAAAGTTTTATAATTTGGGTGCAGATATAAATAACTTCTCTAATCAAGAGAAGATATTTGAATTTGAATCTCAAGCCTATTAAAAATGAATGTTTCTTTTCACAGTACAATAGAATCAAATGTTTCTTGGACAATTTACAAATAATCTGAATTATTTGTAAATAATATATTTATCTGAATTTGAACTTATTGCCAGTTTGTACTGCATTGTTTTTTAATAAAAATAATATTGTCTTAATTTCTGAGCCTTCTTTCCTATAAGGTGACCTTGTAGCATTTTTTCTAAGTTCGTGCTTTGTTTCTGTTTCCCCCACCAGGTTTCTTTCTCATCTGTTATTATTAGTCTGGCTCATTTTTCCTCATCAGTCTTCTCATCTACCCAGAACATTCACAGCTTTTAGTTTGGAGAGACTGCAAATGGTACTAAAGGGCAGAAAAAAATATTGTTTTTCCTTTATTCTATTGTTCAGACCTGCTTCAGGGTTATTGTAGGGCTGGCTGAATGTATATATTGGAAAGAACTATTGGCATTAAACAACTCTGAAGATTATTTCCTCTCCCTTTTTCTGTTCAGATAAATCAATGTGGTGATTAAGGCTAGGTGAATGATAAAATTGCTAACAGGAAAGGCAACTCAAAGCACTTAATACACACTAATAAAAGGGGGGAAAAAAGCTTTCTGCTCTGAAGATCAATGGAAGGATGCAGGACAGGGCTCACATAAAAGCCTCTCAGGTTATCCATACAGCAAAGAACACTCAAGACCAAGACTGTAGGAGTTCATTAATACTCATCAGGATTCGTGACAGAAAGTAACATAAATGGCTGAACTCTTAAGGCTTCGAGACCAGTTTGCTCCCTGCAGAAAGATAAACGTAGGCACTTTTGGGAAATGCTGTTGCAACATTCTGTCAACAATGCGCATGTGCCAGTGCCAGACCTTGTTCGGGGAAGGTGCTTGTACTTGGGGCAGACCTGGAAACAAAGCAACTGTAACTTTTGTTCGCACTCTTAGGGTGTCCCACCCTCCGGAGCCCCATGTCCAGCATCCATGGCAGTTACACAGGAGAGAAGTGGCACAAACTCTGAGGATCTCCTCATGTCTCAGTTCCTCTTGGCTGGCAACAGTGCAGAGATTTTGGATATGCCTGTTTGTAGCCTTTAGCAGCTGATAGTGATCAGTGTCTCCATCCTGTCTCACCTCTCTAAGTCATCAGGATTTCTTCATTGCTCTTTTTCTCCAGAACAAGAGAAAAAGTTCTTGCAAAACTGCACACAGGTGTGCTGGGTTGGGTAATTTGGATGCCAATAGCATAGTCCGTGGAGAGAACTCTTTTGCTGCTGTGTGCTTCATCCAGCAACCCCATGCCCAGAAATTCCCATCCATTCTCCATTCACAACAAATTCCAGCCCTTCTATTACAACTGTCTACATCCCGAGGTAGAGAAAACATTCCAAATAGCAAGCATACCCCAAACCCACACAGCTCTGCTGATGGACGGGCCAGGTCACCAGTGATAAAGAACTGTGAAAAGGCTGAGATGCTCAAAGCCCTCTTTCCCTTGTTCTTTACTAGCAAGGTCAGCCCTTAGGGTTCACAGAGCCCTGTGCCTAGTTTGGCCAGGTTTGGAGAAGGAGACTTCTGCAAATTTAGCAATTACATGTTTGCAAGTCCTAAGGGCTGAACAGGAGCTGCTTGCAAAGTGCTGAGGAAGGTGAGTAACTTCATTGTGCTGCTTCCTATCACCTTCTAAAGGCTGTGGCAATCACATGGGATTTCCAGTTTTTGGAAAAAAGCAAATGTCACGGTCCATCATCAAAGCAAGGTGCAGGAAACCGCAGATAAATCATCCTTACCAAGTATCTCTCTCAGAGGAGATAATGAAGGAAAAGTTTCTGGTAGCCATTTCTGGGATGACAAAGGAGATGAGTCACTTCTGAAAACCAGCAGAGTTCCACCAACACAGCTGCCTTCGGTCATGAGAGAGATGGCTCTATGACTGAAGTGATAAGAGCAGCACATACTGATTTCAGCAAGGGTCTTTTGATGTGACATCCACAGCATTTTGGTAGTCCAGTAGGGACTGGGTAAGTAGATGAGGTGGATGGCAGTCTGAGCCACTCTACTTAAAAAGTACTGGTGACCAGTCTGAAATGAAACTTGCATCTGGTTATGAGTGATGTTCCTCAGGGTTCAGTAAGGGAGTTAGACTAGAGGAACTCTAGAGGTCATACATTTTTCTCTGGTTCTGTGATGAAGCCTTGCAGGGCACTCCTTAGAATTTGGGTCCTCATATTGAAACCACAAATTATTTAGGTTTCTGTGGATTAATGGGTTAGGCTGCAGCCTTTCCTTGATTCTGAGCTCATGCAGCTGATTCAGCATGATATGAACTGGCACTGCATCATGAGGCATTTCCAGCTAAGAAACTTCTCACTGTGAGATCTGCTATGGTGTCCTGACCAGCAGTGACATCCCCTCGACTCCAGAACACAGACATTGCTCGAAAACAATCCATTCCATGCTTAATGACTTTGGGTCTTGTAGTTAAAAGCAGGAGGTGAGAATGAACCAATACTGAAAGAGGACTTTTAGTAAGGATCATTTATTATTTTAGGCCCACATCGTTTTTATTGGAGCGTCCCCATCTCACAGCTATTCTGATGCAGAATAGGCTTTTCTTTACAGTACTTGTGCAATCTGGGTCTTTTGACTTCACTAACTCTCAGTTAAAACAGTTCACACTTGCCCAGGAAACTTGCCTCTTCCATGTGCCCTTTATGCATTCCTCTTTCTTTGTAACATAACATTAACTAATTAATTAAATTAACAGCTGGTTTCTTTGTTTCCATCTGGGAAATTTACTCTGCTCCAGCTCCCCTCCCTAAAGTTAAACAACACTGAACAAGCTTTCTTAAGATACAGGCTTTTCATTGTTCTCTTTGCACAAGATCTGGTCAGATACTGTTGGTCTTTAAAAACTGTTGTATTCACCATCAGACATGCTAACGCTATGCACAGACTTCACAATTCAATCAGAGTTCATTAGCTTTAGACACATTTTCCAAATCTTTATATGCTATATGATTACTTTTAAGTTTTGGTATTTTTTCCCCATAAAAACATATGTTTCAACTGGGATGGAGTTTGCATGCCAGCTATATTAGTAGAGAAATTGTTTTCTGCTGCATTTAATAGTACTGTAATGATTTCACAGTTAGCTTTCCAGATTTTGCTGACCCACAGAAGCAGCTTGTACAACTCCATTTCGTGCTCCTGTCTCCTGCAGGGTCCACATAGCAGGCGAAGGCTTTTCTCAAGGCTCTTTCAAGCCCTCTTCTGTTATTTCTTAGGTAATTGCAATAGCTAATAGAAAATGTAATGTTTATATAGCTTTTAGCACCTGTGTTGCATTATTTTCTCATGTACTGTGTATCTAAAATAGTAGATTGAATTTGGTCTTTAAAGGCTGTGTTATTCTCGTTAAATGGCTCTAAATGGAATGCTGTAAAGTACTGCAAGTTTGGACAGGACAAAGCACAGACTTTACTGCCATTCAGTGGCTTGATGGAAACATCATAAGCAAAAGTGGTTTTGTTTGGTCAAGATTTTAAGCACAATGAAATCACGGTTGAATCTTTGTGAAGACTTAGTTTTCCTGGCTTCAGTTGTGTGAGATCAGATTTGAAACTCTTCCTTTTCACGTTTTGTCGATGTTTGTTTTGAGAGCGCTGTAGTACACACCGAACCTGAACTTCAGACAGCTCTCCTCAGGTGTCTGCCCTGCCGGTGCGATAAGGGCAAGTTTAACGAAGTCCAAGGCTTTGCCCTGTAGCTGAAACACCTTATTTTCATTTTCTAAAACATCTTATTTTCACCTTGTGCCCTTCCTGGGTCCGGCCCAGCCGGTCTGGATCGGAGGGGTTCCGGGACACGCCTGGCGGCCCGGGGGAGCCGGCGCTCCGCGGGTGCCGGCGGGGAGCCGGGCGGGACCCCGCGGGACGGCTGCTCCCCGCACCCCGACAGGAGTGCCCTGCCCCGGCGATGCAGGCGGCCCGAGCGCGTCCCGGCACCTGCGGCTGCCGCCGGTCCGCTCCGGTCCGGTCCTGTCCTCTTCTGTTCTGTTCTGCCCTGCCCGCTGCTGTCCCGTTCGCTCCCGTCCCGTCCGGGCCGCGCTGTCCCGCGGGCAGCGGGACCGGGGCCGCGCGCCGCTGGCCGCCCCCTCCCCGGTGACGTCACCGCGCGGTGACGTGTCGCCCGGCGGCGCGGGGGCCGCCGGAAGCGGCGGGAGGCGGCGCGGAGCGGGTTGGTGCCGCCGGAGCGGCAGCGGCGCAGCGCGGAGCTCCAGCCCTGCGTTCCTTCCGTCCGTCCTTGTGTTCCTGCCTTCGCTCCGCGGCAGCGCCGGTACCGATGAGCGGGCTCCGAGCGCCCGGCGTGCGGCCGGTGCTGACCTGCCTGCTCCTGCTGGGGCTGCTCCTGCCCGCCGCCGCCGCGGGCGCGGGGTGCGAGCTGGAGGCTGCGGACGGCGGCGGCGGCCGGCGGGGAGGACGGGGCGGCGCGGCCGGCTCTGCGGCGGAGCCGGTGACAGGTAACGGCCCCCGCGCGTCCCGCCGGCGGGCGGCTCTCGGCGGACGGGTGGGACGCTGCTCTCCGGGGCGCCTCCGAGCCGCCTCCCGCCGCCGCGGGGCTGGGCGCGGTGCGGCTCTGCAGAGGGCGCCGGGCCGGTCTGCAGGGGGTCCGGCTGCGGCGGCGGCACTGCGGTACTGCCCGGCGCGGCCCTTCCCGGGAAGCAGCCCGCCGCAGGATGTGTGCAGGATCCTGTTGAATAGCGATATTGTTGGGATCCGGAGCCGCCGCTTCCGCGTCGGCTCCTGCGGTGCCGCCCGTGCCGGTGTCCGGGGCGCCGCCGGCCGCGGCCAGAGCGGCCGAGCGCGCCCGCCCCGGCGCCGCACCCGCGGGGCCGCCTCCGGCGGGCACGGCCCGGAGCCGGCACGGGCGGCTGGCGGGTCCCGCTGTATCGCTGCACGGCTCCTGCAAGGCAGAGTGTCCGTCCCTGCCCCCAGGGGGGTTGAGTTCTCCGGGAAAGGGGAAGGCATTCCAGCCTTCGCTTAATTCTTTAAAGAAAAGTCACATTACCGTACTTAGGGCAATTGGGAATGCCTGCAATTAGAACAGCGCTTCTATCGAAACATTTCAAATAATCTAATTTCGGCAGGCTTTGATGGCTCTGAATTGCTTATACGCATTCGGAATCTGTCTTGTAATGAACAGGAGGAAGCTTTACTGCCTTTAGACAGTTCACTTAGCAAAATGGGGTCGGAAACACTTAGAAGTTTGTCCAGTCTCATAATGTGCTTTTCAAAAAGCTCCGTAATTGAAAGGAAGAACTTGGAAGGTGGACGAAACAAGAAAAACCCATATCCCTTCAGAATCAAAGTAATGTGCGTTTCTCAAAGAAAAACTTCTGATGTTGTTTGGAATAGTATCGACATCCTGAACTGAAGGTGTTGAACTTCAGCTGATGCCACATACCTGGGTTTCTTCTCAGCCCAGCACCTTAAGGACATGAATTTTAATTCGAATTAGTGAAACTTCAGCAGTAGTCATGACATAACTCCAAGGTAGAAATGCAAGGCTACGTGATCTAGCGGGGGATCAGTGATATTCCTGCAATGTGAATTGTCCAGTCTGTTGGCTTGCTGGATGAGCTGAAGGAAGCTGGAGCATCCGCAGTCTGTCTTGTACCTCCCAAGGGTGTTGTGGAAGTGCTGTATCAGAACAGCTCTCTCTCTGTTTTTTGATTGTGATTGATCTGGTTGTAGGTGGTGGTAAGCAGTTCTTACTATGAATACTGCTGATGCTGTCTACATTTTGTGCTCAATCAATTTTGATGTGTCAGTCTGTATGGAAAAATCCAAATTTTTAAAATGTTTTATGGACTGTAAAGGTACTGAGATGCCCATCAGCTGTGTTCTCTTTCACTTAGTAGTGACTCTGGTGAAGAAGAAATATAATTATTTGAGAAATCTAACATGCTCTAAGTGGATTAATTGTGTTACATGACAGTATGGTCTGGAAAATACATATGTTTAAAAGCCATCTTACAAACAGTTTTAAATTTTAGGAGGTATCAGCATAGTTCTGTGTTCATCCACTTAATAAATACATGTTTCAATTTGTCATGGAGTTTGCCTAACTAACTCCTAAGTAGTTTAAAGTTACTTTTTGCAAAGCTGGAAGAACTCTTGAATGGTTGGAAAAAAACAGATGACTTTTTCAGGGGGTGATTTTAGTTATATTATCTGTTATTTTCCTAAAAGGTGAGAGTTGGAAATGTGCTGCTGAGTTGGGAGAGAATACCAACACTTGTCTGGAGAACAACAGAATAAACTCTTCATTCAGTAATTTTGACTGGTTTGAGAAGTACAATCCAGAAGATAAAAAGCTGATGCACATAAAATGCTGTGCTAGGAAGAGGCTATGGGATGCTTAGATAGAGATGTTTGGGAAACAGAGCTGTAGGAAATAATTCAGGACTTCTAGTCACAAATTGGTCTGAATGAGAAACATGCAGCTGGCAAAAGTAGATGTCATCCTTGGATATGTTGATTGAGTTTAAAGTACAGGAGGCTTTTTTTTTCCTTTCTTTTTTTTTTTCTTTTTGACTGCACTTTTGTGTCTAGGTTTGAGTATTAAATCACGTGGCTTGAGAGGTTCAGAACTTACGAATTAATTTTTTTATTTTAATAAAGTACTGGATTATTTTGATGTGGTGGAAAAAGCTGTGGGGTGGGTATGTAAGAAATGGTTCGTGGAAGCACTGCGAGTTTTTTAAAGCTTTTATTCTGTGGTCTTTTTTTTAATTTTCCTGTAGTTGAGGTGTAGGGTAAGAGGAAGTAAATTTTTGTGGGTATGATTTAGATTAAATACAGGCTGGAGAGTTTTTACCTATAACAGCCAAATTGTGTAGATCGTTATACAGGTTCCCAGTATCAGAGGTTTTTATTGGCTTAGAGAAGAAGCTGGCAAAGATAATCTAGATATTTGACAGAAAAAGGATGTGTGATGAGTTTTAGGACTAGGGGAGAGCTTATGATTCTATTTTTGCCATATTTTATCAGATATTCAGGTATTTACTTAATTGAGTATATAGATTATCATTACTGTTGTCTTTCCTGTGTGTATGTGCCTTTTTAACAGTATTTTTAAATGACAGCTGAATATGTAGTGTGACTTGACTGTGCCTGAAGGTATTTAGTCATGATTGTGAAAATTAGACCAATTGGGGAAATGTGTCTCCCTTGGAGGGAACACCATGAGGCTGTTTGCTATTCACTCCAGCTCTGCTTGTTCACTACTTAATTTGGTAGAAGGTTTTAAGGAACCTTCTGTTCTAAGCTTGAAGATAGCACTGAGTATATACATTTTTATATTCACCCAATTATAAGTTGCTTTGTAATTCTGGATTATTTTCATGTTTAAATTTAAGCCATGATCATGGATTAGCTCGGCTGCCTTTGGGTGTGACAGAGATCCTGCACCTGTATTTGGCTAATAAATTTCTCTCTAATTATGTCGCACAATATTTGAGACCAGTTTTAACTACAGCACTGCACTGAAGAAATAATAGGCAACACAATGTAACCTTTTTAGTTCTTCAAAGATTTTTCTTTTAATTACATTTCTATTCTGGAACTTAGCCATCATATTAACACTCTGAGCTCTTCAAATTAATCAGGCTTTGGCATTTGAGAAGTGAAGGTTTCTGGAAAATGTATTTTTAGCTGCAGCTCTAGAGTTGGCTTAAGCTGTTCTAGTGTGGGTGGCTGTTTAAGTGGGGCTTTTTTCTCTGGATTGACCCCAGCTGGTCATGCAGGCAATATTTTACCAGAAGAGAGCTAGCAGGAGCAGGCATGCTTATCCCACCGCTGGAAACCCACCAGGAGGGAAGGAGTTTTATGCTCCCTTTCTGCTCTGTACCACCTGACTGGCCCTGACGTTGTCATGAGCACTGTCTGTGGCTTTGGATTGCAGCAATGTGACAAGAACCAGAGGCAGCAGGTAAAACTATGAATTTTTATCAGACTGTTTCCTAACTTACTTTAAGCCTAGCACCAGTGCAAAGAAGAGGGAGGACCATGGTGTCAGGAGAGGGGAGCAAGGATGGTCTGCTTCCTGTGGTGGCACCTAGTCTGAACAGAGCTGTTCATAGAGTTTTATCACTAAGGTGACTGTGAAACTGCATCAGTGACCTTTTTGGGGCTTGAATAATGCATTTGGAATTTGGTGGTTGTGTGAGAGACTTCATTGTATGGTGAGCTAATACAAAGAGGATGGTGAATTTGGGAACATAGTGAAATGCTTTTGCATGACTAGTTTGGCGTGCAATTGTCTTAAAAGTTTGAGAGCTATGAGATTTCCATTGCTTTCTTAGTAAACTGCTAGTGGATTTCTCTAGCTATGGAGCATTACAGGTTTGGAGTTTTTTGTTGTTTGTTTTTTTTGCAATTTCATTTCTTCTGTTTGTCTCTAGAAAAGCTCCTTGTAATCTGGTTTTACTATTTCTGGTGGGAGGACTAATTTCAACTCCTGTCTCCTCTAAAGGGTGTTGACTTCAAGCTACTATTTACTTTTTGATAGCATCTCAATGCTGTCATTTGTCTTTGAAATAGAATGAGTTTCTCAGTTAAATTAAGTTTTTAATTTCTTAGCATATTTTTTATTTTTAGTGAGGAAGAATAGAAATTCAGGAGAGATGTGTGTTTCGATAGCTCAGTCAGCAGTTGCATTGTCGTAACTATGAGATACAGTTAAAAAAGCTGTGAGTGGCTGGATTTGTAGACAGTTTTGAAACAAATATTAAAAAAATAATTAACCAGGAAAAACCCTGGCCTTTATGTAGCTTGGTGGCATTGGACTCCCACTCAGAGATAAGACAGCAAGCACTTGTAACTTCCTTTGCTCTTAGCTGAGTTTTTTTGCCTTACAGCCTTCCAGTGTTTTGATTGTAACTCTTTAGTGCTTCTGCCAGTGTGTTCTGCACCTTCTGTTGTCCTGTGAGGATTTTCCTTCACCTCTTCTGAGGATTCATTCGTAATGTTTTAATTTAGCCAGGTTATTTAGCTGGTTTTTGTTTTTTTCTTGTGTTAGAGTAGTAGTATGTATGTATGTATGTATGTAGCAGACCCTTTCTTAATACCCCCAGTGTTGCTCCCTGAGATGCTGGAGCTCTGTCATCTCTCCATCAGCAGGTTTTTGTGTTGCCCTTTCAGCTATAAGATTTCTGAAGACAGCTCTGCTTTTCTGAGGACCTCCTACCCGATTCTGCAAGGCTGGGCCCACGCAGCTTGGGCATGACTCATTTTCTTCTGCCTAACTCCAGGGATGCTGATCTGTCAGAGCTGGGTTGGGCTGCCCTGTGTTTGTCAAAAGGGGACTGTGCCCAGTGACAGGAGCTGTTGATCTTGATAGGATTTCCTATAGTAATACTACAACTATGAAAATCACCTAAAAATACCGGGGTTTTTTAGCATTTGTATGAAGAAAGCAGTTTGATAGCCTTCTAATTGATTTTTAGATAGTGTTCTC